CCCGGCCAAAACCCGCGAAAAAATCAATAAAAAGGAAAAAATAAGACAAAAATTTTGCAAAAATATTTATTGTTGGGTTACGGTAGCACTCGTTTGCCGGCTGTGTTTTCAAAAATTCTCCTTGAAATACGGTGGCCTAACTTGTGTGAAAATTCGGCCACAACTCCAATTTTTTTGCACAAGAATAATATCATAAGCATTTTGTCAGTTGGCACATTACTAATAGCTCATGCAGATGATGAGATAACTGAGCTCAAACTTGACAATGTGGGGGAAAATAGAAGGGTCCCCCTCAAAATGCGGTATATGAAGTAAAAAAGGGCCACTTCTAATTGGAGGGTCCTCTAAAGGGACCTTCTCAATAAAAGAAGGGCCCGACCTTCTAATACAGGTTCTACTCTAATTTTATTTATGGCTTTCAATAATAAGACCTCACTGAAAATTTTTTCGACCAAAACAAAAAATAATTTTCAGTTCCAAAAAAAAAATTACCAATCTGTTTAAAGATGGAAACACCAACATTGCTCATCTCCCACTGAAAATAGCTGCTAATGAACTGAACTAATTAGTTCAAAAGCTGCGAACGAAGCGACCAGAGTTTATATTTTCTCGTTCCATTTGTTGTGGTGTTTCCTAGTCAAGGATCAGTTGGTTTTCGCAAATTGTAGAGGCTCTTTTTTGGTATGTTTTTCTTTTACATTTTTTTTTTGAAAAAAAATATTTAAAAAAATGATGTGTTGGAGAATGATTTCATGCAATTTCATTTTCTTTTCTTTAATTATAGCCCACTTTAAGTTTCAAAAATCGTTTCCTGCACTATCGGAAAGTGGTTTTTAATGACATTTGATTTTTGCGATTCCCTAATTTTTTCCCACCAAAAAATACGGAACCCAAATCTAAAATAAACAAGAATAAAGTGGAAGAAGAGGTCGTGGAAAGCAGAAATGGATGGGAATCCAGCTGTTTTTTCGTTTTTTCAATTGGTTTTTTGACGTCACCATATTCCTTTTTTCTGTCATTTTGGGAATATTCATTTTATTTTTATTG